AACGAATTTAACATTTAATGCATATTTTTACTGTTGTAAAAATTAAACACTCGTTCCACACTTCAATGGAGAACCCAACTGTTTATTTATAAAGCAAAAACAGAAGGAATCATTCTAATAAATATATGAAAACAGAGCGATATTTCAATTAAAGACGTACGTGAGTGCAATATTTTTTAATTACTCTGTATATTATAAGAACATAAATTTCGCTTAAATTATTTACAGCATAAAGAAGCAATTAAATAGAGGTACTTAACCCAAATATCATTTTGCAGGTTTTGTACGGCTTATCAAAATGCAGTACGAGTGTTCGGCTTCCTCAATACAAATTTATAAAACGACAAGCAATTATTTACTGTGACATTATCACAATGCCGGGCTGCAATTTGAGGTGGAGAGCATTTATTTAATTTAAAATATATGCTCTCCACCTCAAATTAGTAGTGACTTGCCCCTGTAAATCATACTTTTCCGTTAGCAACGGAGTCGTGCCGGTCATCTATTTAAATTTGAATTAAAATAACATGACTTCGGGTCCAAAGCAGAGGCTCGTACATAATTAATCAGGGCCTCCTGCCCATATCTTTCCTTGTCTGATCTAGAATTTTATTTATCGATTAAACTAAATCAATTAAACCAAAAATAATAAAATAATAATCAAAATTAATATCAAATCAATTGAAATTTTGTTATTTTCAAGTTTAAATTTAATTTTTTTTTATATATTTTACTTTTTTAATTATGTAATTTATTATAACGTATATTTGTTAATTACTTTTGTTATTTATTTGTTCACTTTTATTTGTCAGGGGGTGGAAATCATTTGTCTTTCGGAACTTTTCTTGTATTTTGTAACAGTAAATAAATAAATAATACCTTAGAAAATGTAAATTATTGTCGAATCGTAATATGTAATACATAATTTAAAAGAAATGACGAAAGAAAAAAACAAATCACGGGTCCAGTCTTACGTCATCAAACACGCACCCTTCCTTCCTTCCATCGTGAAATACAAAGGAACCCGCCTCTCCCATAAACTACTGACGTAATACCTGAATAGTTCCATTGTAAGAATCATAATTATACAAAATAATTGATGAAATAATTAAATAAAAAGTCTATTCAGAAAATTATCCATTGAAAAAATTGTTGTTTTTCATAGTAATCCAGATATTAGTCAACAAATGGCGATACTCAATTTATATATATATATATTTATTTATTTAATAACAGTTTAATAAAGTGATAAAGAAGTTATGATATACATATGTTATTCACAATTAACAGTGTAGTGATGACATGGAGTTCTAAAAGAAAGACATGCTACTGATGTTTTAGATCTTTAAAAACAAAGGACAGGTGTAGTAGGCCATTAATAAATCTTCATTCATATTTTACTTTTGATAGTGCAGAATATTATATAAATTACCAAAATATATAGGGCCAATATGAGTGTTATAAGAAATGTAATTTCTCGTGTCAAAAATACAAAACTATTTCATTCCAAATATTATTTCTCACTATACTGAATCAAGTGAAATTTTATAGAACACTTTATGTAATGTTAAAGTTAATAAATTATTTTTAAAATAGTTTGTCTTTATTTGGCTTAAATTTCTAAGGTTATTTAAATATATCAAAGGATGACCTATGGTTTTCCTAATTATATTGTCATACATATGTAATAAAACAAAACAGTAAAATGCAAATTGATTTACTTATTCTACCATTATCTATACCAGTGATTCTTAAACTTTTTCGATCCACCGCCCCCTTTGTTCCATAAAGTTATACCCAACGCCCCCTAACCCATTTTCTCTTGTGTGAGAAAAGGATTGGAAATATTCTTAGGAAAACTTTTCTATGAATCTCACACTTTGTGCCCTTACTGTACATTGTTCTCATCATCTGGAAACCATTAAACGCAATGTTTCCTCTTATCAGCCCCAATTTTGCCTTTGGTCACCGTTCAATACCCTGCCTCTATCATAGATCTATTCATCGCGCCAGAAGGGGGCGTTATTGCTTACTTTGAGAAACGCTGAGCTAAAATAAAAGTCAATGTGTTAGAAATATTCAAGTTGTTACCTTCAATAAAAAATATATAAAATGTCAACATTTTATATATATTCCGTCGAATATTTATATATAGAATTTGTCTGCCGTCGCTCCTCTATATTTCCTTAACGCCCCCAATTCTCTTTGAGCCTTCTACTGCCCCCCTGAAAGCCTCCAGCGCCCACAAGGGGGCGTTATCGCCCACTTTGAGAAACGCTGATCTATACAGTATATTGAACAGATATTTTATATTCAGAACATTATGTACAAAAATATGTAGCAATATAACAATTTTAAAACCTGGATCCATAAACTCTATCCATATCCTTAACTGTAATTTTAAATTATCATCTTATTAAATTTTTTTATAAACCAAATATACTATTTCTTTCTTTATACGTGATATAAAATTAAAAATGTAATTACGAATAAGATTTTTTTACAGAACAGTAGAAAAAGTTACTTAAAAATATTTGAAAACGATAAAACTACCAACTAACCAAACAGATAAACCAACTTCTTCTCGCCGTAATGCGATTCTAACCCCAGCTATCGACAACCTGACACATTAACTCTACTTGAAAGCATAGCTCTAGAACTCTGGTTTACGTTGACATCTGTAGCTTACTTATGAGAGGTGATGTGTATGTTGGAATACCTCAGACACTAATAAATCTAAAATTACATTTTATTAATGAATATCATTCAATTATTTCATTTTTTATTAAAAGATGGCAACTTTATTACTGGACTTTCCCGGCATTCTTTATTTGTTTTCATCGTTGATAATTGATGCGGTAAAAGTTTACTTTTAATACATGGCGAAATTTGCGTATATTCAGAAGGCCACAAAGGTGCTTTAAACATATGCTTTTAAAAAGTTCAAATTGTGAATACTGTATAATGTGAAGTCCCTCTCGGAGGCAGAAACCTCGACCAAAATCTGTTTTAAAAGAAAGTTGATTCAATTAAAATGCTTTTGATTAATACAATATCGTGAGAGAGCAGGTCGGGAATTCTACCAATTTTTCCAACGATCGCGAAAACAGAAAGATAGAATGTACAGTATAATTGAACTAAATGTCACGCGGGTGCAGCTGGTAATGTTTACAACCGGGGTAAAAATGCTTGATTGTGAATTACGGGCGGATTCGCAACAAAATTCAATAAACAATTAAGGCAGGGGTCCTATCTCCGAATTCTGTCTCGACTGACCCTGGCAACAATTAGGGACCAATCGGAGGGGTAGAGGATGGAGATCACGACCAACCACAGCGTCTAATCAGGGATGCTAAACCTTTAAGAGGCTGGAATTCAAGGACAGAGGGTCTTTCCTTGGTGTTCTTCGTTCATAAGGATAACCGAATCTTCTTCGCTTAACTAGGCTAGAATCTTCTTCGCTTAACTTTAGAGATTTTCCCACAGAGAGGAGAAGAGGATTTCTTAAGTTCAGGAGCGTGCCGGCCAGGACAGAGAACTATTATTCTGGATACAAGAATCAACGAACTGTGTTCTTCGCCTTTTCCATCAGGGACTGTCCGTTTAGATCCGCCGTTCAAGAGCGACCAACTTGGGAAACCCTCTCATCGCGAACATCGCATCCAATCTGGACAGTGTGCGTAGGATTAGTTTTAAGCAGGGCTGTGGAGTCGGAGTCGGAGTCGTCAAAAAATCCGCCGACTCCGACTCCTTTTTACTTCCCAACTTGTAATGTATATAAAACGGAAAAGTATTGGAATCGTGTCAAATTTGACCCTCCAAGTTTCTTTTGCAAAACTACACGTTTGGAGACCTCCCGAACCCCTCAAAAAAGTCAATAAAAGGGAAAAAATTCGCGCGCGTGTGTGTGTTGACATCTAATTTGTTTAATTTTTTTATTTTCTGTTCTGAGATATTAAACAATATCTCAGAATGGGTGAAGTTTAAGAAACGAAATGTGGCACTGTGGCTTACGTATAAAGGGACATTAATAATATTAAATTTTGGTTCTTAATTAAAGGTCGACAGGGTGAAGACATAAAAGTGGTCATGTATCATATCTCTTAATGAAGATTTTACTTATAGCTTTGGAATAAAAAGTCTCTACGTTCTATCTTTATTACAACTCTATTTATTGAATATTTTATTCTGAGGTCACGTGATGACATCAGAATTTCCGGGTCTCTTTCGGTAACAAGTCGCCCCTGGTCGGAGTCGGTAGATTTTTACACGACTCCACAGCCCTGGTTTTAAGGACCAAATGAGATCTGATTTTTATAAGATGTTTTTTGTATATTAATAAACGGGTGTTAATTGTAAACGGAGTTTGTGCTTCTGTGTCTAACGCTACCACCCATATACGCTGTTCACACCTTCTCGCCATCCCGAATGACACCTCCATCAAAAAGGAAGTGTCGATCTCAACGCTAGGAAATATCGGGCAGAAAAATAAATGGAGGGAAAAAACACGTCGTGGGTCACGTGATGTGATGACGTCCAGCGTGGTCACGTTACACGATTTGTAAGCGTCCGCCTCCAATGTGTTACTCCGCGATGTAAACAAAGTTATGCAATGGCGGCTTCCATCGTAAATAGTCGGTAAATAATCCGATGAGTTTTCGTTTATAGCTCTTATTATACGCATCACTCCCAAAGATTTCTATGTATTTACGATACGTCTACTAGTGAGGTCTCTTAAGAAATCAAAATTAGAAAAAAAACGCATCATGTATTAAAAGTAAACTTTTACCTCGTAATTACTTGGCAAGATACTTGTGTATTATGCTAACTGCGAATTTATTATTTATAACAAAGAAAACCAGTCGTGATCGACACATAAAGTATATTTCAATAGACCAGGAAGCTGTGTCTATTGTTCTATCCACGTATTCCAGAAATCAAGTATTGAATCAGCTTCTTCGTCGAATTTTATGGTAAGATTTTTCTTATTTTCATTATCGTGAATTAACAAAATAATTGTAAATTTATAGTTTAGGATAAACATTAGAAAATGACTGAATCGTTGCATAAAATATTTTCTAGAATGAATCTTTTTGTATTTTTTAAAAATATTATATTCCCACAAAGTTTATATACTATAATAGACTTTTTTATATTTATTAGGATCGATTTTTCATAAGAAAAATTGCCTTTAATTCGGCTGTTGTTGCTGTAAGTCTTACAATGCGTTTGCCCATGAACCTTTTTCCACTAAAATAACAACACACTTAACAGGAAATAATTGGCATTATAGGATCAGTTTACAAATTAACAAATAATACGAGAAATTATATTTTACAGGAGATTATTTCTGTGTATATAAGTGTTTTTGTTTCCATTGTCGTATTCTTCGTAAGCAATGACATGTAACACGTAATAGAAGTTAATTAATATACCAAGGACACAATAGGTACTTTCTGAAAACAAAGTAGAATTGTATTGACGCACTAAGAATATTAATAAGCTTATATAATACACTGACAATATAATAAATGCACTTAAAAATATAATAAAAACGAGTTTAATTGATTCTTTAATTAATGATATATTTATACTAGAGTTGTAATATTGCATACTATAGTCAGCGCAGTGAAAATTTCAAAATCGAGTAAAGATGGACCGCGTAAAAAGAGGGATAGATGTATACTGTACTCGTTACAATGAACTGGTTGCTCATTCAGCCTTCATTGTAATTAAGGCTGAGTGAACCCCAGAGCACCAATTAACATTTTGTTGCTTACTCTAGGGAATTGAATCCCGGTTGTGTAGATTAGAAGTCAGTGTGTCAGTCAGTACTTCAATATACACTCGTAAGAAGGCTTATGTACACAAAAGAAGCCTTAGATCTATAGCCTGTTAATGGGCTCTGTGGGTACTTTGACTGTTTGTGAAACAAATCTTAATTCTTATTGTTGTCCATATTGATTCATTCAACAGAATATTTGATAGATTCTCGAAAGAAAGATGTCCATATCGAAATTTTACGAATTTCGTGAAGTTTTTTTAACAGGAGTAACGGGATCTTTAGGAAAGGCAAGCATTTCTACATATCTTTTACGCGCAGATAATGTTTCTAGTGTATTTATATTTTCTTTTTTTTTAATACCTGAAGGTGCTTTTAGAGAAATTGTTAAGGTCCTGCAATACTAAAAAGATTTACGTTTTAATCAGATGCAAGAAAGGAATGCAAGCGGAAGAAAGGAAGACGGAACTGCTTCGTTCTAAAGTAAGATAAAATAATATACTGTATTTCATTAAAGATAAACTAGGACATCGCGATAAAATTGAGGCGAAGTCCTGAAAAAAAAAGATCCTCGTTAGGCACAGAAGAAACGTATTGTATAGTACCTGACGGTCTTCAATCCTCATTACATTTTTTTTTTAATTCCTCATCACAATTAATATATCTCTAATATAGTCAATAATAAATTAAGAATTTTATGTTGGAGTAGTAAATATATTGATAAAAAGAGTTTTTAATAAGTGCCATCATTTTGTTAGAATTGTTTACATTGTTTTATTTAATATTGAAACTTAATATATTTTTTCATATTTATAAAAGATTTTCGAAAATGTTTTACTGAAAAATCCGGAGATTTGCAATAAAGTAGAATGCATCGAAGGTAACCTCACTCAAGACAATTTCGGGATTTCCTCTTCGAATATGAATTTGATAACAAAAAATGTTTCGATGGTGTTTCACTTGGCTGCTTCAGTTAAATTCACTGAACCTTTTCGGCAAGTTTTACATTAATTAAGCAAATAATTTTATGATTTTGTGTATTTATTTTAATTTATTTTGTAGAAATGCATTTGTTAATAATGTGGAAGCGACGAAAAATGTGGCCGAAGTTTGTCGTCGTATGAACAATTTGTTGGTAAATATTTTAATAGTAGTTTAATTATAGCTTATTTTTAATGTACACAGCATTAAATTTAGCACAGAAATGTTTCATATTTCAAAATATTTTCTCATAATTCTAATATGTAATATAAGTTACATAATAATTTTAGGCATTCTTATACGCATCTACAGCTTATTCTTGTTGCAATAGAGAAGAAGTGGATGAAAAAATCTATACAATGTCCAGAAGTTATGAAGAATTTAAAAAAATCGCAAAGTATTGTACTGTATTATGCCACTTTAAATACATTTTCCTGTAATTTCCGAGATTCCATCAAGCGCAACGTGTTAATATTTTTACAATTGCAGTCTTAAAAAGAATGACTCATTAGAGATAAGAGACGAAAATATTCTTGAAGGTCGACCCAATACCTATACTTTAACAAAGGCCATAACAGAAAATTATTTAAATGACTTCTGTAGAGATTTGCCTATAGTAATTGTAAGACCTTCTATCGTAGGTTGCACTTGGAAAGAACCTTTTTATGTGAGTAGTTTTTATTCTATATCAAAATAAATTACATATTTGTGAATAATCACGAGAAATTTATTTATTTAGGGATGGAATGAAAACAATAGTGCTGTGGATTATATAACTGCAAATGTAAGTGTATTTAAATATTTCTGGAAATGAAGGAACGGTAAAAATAACATACTTTGTAGTGCTTAACGTCGGACATCTGTTTTTGTATTCGAGTAACCGATGTATACACAGGTAAACTCAGACTCCCTGGTATACTCTGGATTTTGGTACACCACCCGAGTGCTGTCATCCACACGTTCAGGTATATCAGAAACTCGAATGTTCAGGTATACCAGTACGTGTATATCCGGTTTAAGAATCAAAAGTTAGAGTTAGAAGTTGACCAATTACCATTTACTTTAATTAAATGAACAATGTTAGTTAGCTTCTAATTATAACTCAGTGTTTTTCGAACTTTACTTTCCGGTGGCCCTTCTAGAGCAGAAGTAAATTACTATTTGTTCTTAAATGTATTTTAATTTTTGTAAATTTTTATTTAATTTAAACGCTTTATTTTTTTATTTATATTTCAGTGAGTGTTTTTAATAAAGCTAAATATTACGATAAGTATTTTTATTCCATTAAATAATACGCTTCTTTCTCTTGAGAACTAAAGGATCTTCGTGGTATGCAGTGTTTCTGAATACATTTGTCGATTTCCACAGATTGCAAGCCATTAAATTACCCAAATAATATCGGGTATCCAAATACGAAATTTTTTACAGTGTTCAGCACTACTTTCAGGGATTGAAAGGAATACTTAGAAGCATGTTGAGTGACGAAGATAAAATTTGTGATATAATTCCTTCAGACACAGTGGTTAGTTTATTATTATCTGCGGCTTGGAAAAAGGCAATTACTCCTCACCGAAGGTAAGATTTCAAGAATATTTTAATAAATTATGAAATACATCAGCTTTACGAAGTTTTCTGATTTTAAAGACCGTTATTTTTCTGCGAATTTTTAAAATTAGAAAATTAAGGAATTACATTTTCAAAATTCTTATCGTACTTGAACGGAAGGATTAAATAGGATTCTAATGCAAAATCTGTCTGATTCTATCTATTACAATTTTGGTGAATACAATAGTGTCTCAGTGAAGATCTTATTGAAAAATGTTCCTTCCCAACTCCGCCTCGTTGAGTTGGTTTCTTGTATATCACGACTCGATGTAGTGAATCAGGTTCGTCGGAAAGTACACCTCCACACTCAAATTGAATATATATATAGTTTATTTACAGTTGTACAAGTTATAAACGTAGCATATGTACAGGAAGATCATGCGTGGTGAATTCACGTGCCAGATTGGCGTCTGGAAACTAATACTCTTGGGAGAGACCTCAGTCAGCTTTCGGAGTCGGCTCAACTGCACGGTCGGTCCGGTCTCAGCACTAACCCGTCCCTGAGAAGATTAACAGAGGAGAACACTCTCTCTTTACGCTCAGCGGGCTTCCCAAGTGCCTGAGACTACCGTGTACCAGTCTCTTGCCCTTCTCTCCTTTCCTCTCGTTCGGCCCGCAATTTAAGGGTTTTTGGACGGGGACTTCCGACCAATCACAATCCCTTTCCTTTGCCCGAACAGCTTACACTCGGGTCCGCCGTCACCCGACGAGAGTGAAGCTTACACAAACGTCCGCCACTTGTTTACGTTCGTTCGTTTACAATATGGCAATTGTACTACCGTCTCACCGCAGGTGGGTCTAATTAACAAAGCCGTACCCCCTTTGTCCCCGCTGTGCTAAAAGGTTACTACTTTACAGTCTCTATAGTCACTCGTATTAATACTTGATGTATGCGACAGAGAGAGACTGAGTAACTAACAGTCACAATCATAATTAATACGATAAATTAACCTGTGAGCTAAGTACATTTTTTTTACTGTACATACATATAAAATCAAGTAATCCGACAAACTACTGTAATCCAGCACTCGCCAGTCTGATATATGTCGGATTACAGAGATTTTACTGTATTTGGGAAAGACTTTTTCCACAGTAAAAACATATTTTGAATACCATCTGCCGAAGATCGCTTGAATAAGACAGATTACAATCAGCCTTAACTTATGTAACACCGAAAAAATATGCATAATGTCAAAATTGCTTGTTTCTTTTTGCAATAATTAATTATTAATAATTTATATCAAAAAATATATAAATGTCTTATTAAAAACGTCCGGACATATTACAAATTCACCGTTATTAAATTCATGTAGAAATCTTATATTATCTTTTAAATATATTTCAGAAAAACTGTCTGCTCTTCTCTTTCAGACAAGATGAAATCCCAGTTTACAATTGTACTTCTGGATCCATAAATCCTCTGACAATTCGCAAGTTTCTCCAATGTTCATACCTACAGTTTTGGAAATGTCCTTCGGAAAACACATTTTTATATCCAATAAAAATACCCAAGAAGTATTATTATTGGAATTGTATACACAATGTAATGAAACACCAGTTTCCTGCACTGTTAACCGATATATTTCAAGTTGCTATTGGCAAGAAACCAAAGTAAAATATATTATTTTAAATTTGCTTATCTATTGTATTGTTATGTAAAATGATATTCATATAATTTACAATTTAGGATGATGAAAGTTTACAACAATGTTCACAAGACAATGAGCACGTTAGAATATTTTTGTATGAGAGATTGGAAGTTTCGTTCCAGAAATGTGGAGGAATTGCTGGAAACGATGTCGAAGAAAGATAAACAGGTAGGATTAATCGCGCTTGTTGGGAGAGAAACAAAAAGAGCAATATAACGAGGGAATACTGTAAAGTTTGAGAAGCTAACAGAAATCCCTGCTGCATTACATCTTTTGGAGACAAGTATGTGGCTATGATATGTACAAAAATATGTTTGTTTGGATGCCGTTTTACACGCCATCATAGAGATACTCCTACAAATAAGCAAATTTTCTTGTTAACAATACCAATTTTGAATGTTTCTATAAATAGTATAACGTTATATTTCACAAAATAATCAAATTTTTCACCAAAATATCCAAGTGTTGAATCCATTATGCAAACAAAATCATTGTTTTTTAACAATGATTTTGTTTGATTTATATTCATCGTATTACCTATTAACAGAATAAAAAAATCAGAAAGTGATAAAATATATGAATTCTTTGAATTAATAATTCGTTTGATAATTATAATTACTTGCAATACATTTTATTTTCATAAAAAGTTATTGGATCTGGCAGCTTGAGGTAGAATCAGACACACTGAGGATTTATTGAGGCTTGACGACTTGTTCGAAAACAAAAATGTGTTTTTCAGTTGTGCTAAACAAAAACAAGAAAAAAAAATACTCATTAAACATGCAAAATAATCGAAATTTTATTTCAGAATTTCGATTTTGATATCTCGAAACTCAATTGGGACCACTACATGGAAGATTACGTTCTAGGTATCAGGAGATTTGTTTTGAAGGAAGATGATTCGACAATCCCTCGAAGCAGAAAAAACTTATTAATGTAAGTATCTATTTATATTCTTCCATTTCTAAATAATATAATTTATAGCATAACGTTATTACTTTTACAGGAAATATTATTGCATTTTACTTGCAAAAACTGTATTGTTTTCTGGATTCCTTTACAGCCTTACCTTTATATAATTTTCCAATGAAGGATTTAAGATTAGTGTTTCTGAGATCCTTACATTAATTCTGTATTATATACATTAATTGTATTACTTATTAATTTTCCACAATATAATCCATACAAAATACTAGGAAAATATAGTTATCGATGTCCAACAATTCTAAAATTTTATTAATTATTAAAACGATTAAATCTTGGAAAGTCTTAATATTGTTTATACGAGAAATGAAGAGACTACTGTAATTGTTTCTTGTGTAGCTAATGAAAACAGATTAAACTATGGAACACAGTGTGATCATAAAGTCTCTTCGCAGTGATCATAAAGTCTCTTCGCAGTGATCATACCCGTTTACATCTCTAGGGCCTATCTCTTGTATGCCAAGCTGGTACCCGTATTGTCAGCAATTTCTTTGTATAAGATATGTAAATACTGGTCATACTCTATCACCGTGCGTCTGGAGTTAGAGTTGCATGTTTGACCTCTGTTTTGCTTTTTTTTTCTTGTATTTTACATTAAAAATAATTTTATAATAAAAGTTTACAAGATTTAATATTCTATTGATAAATAAATTAATTAAACGACTATTTAATTTAACTAGCCAACAATTTTAATAAAATTAAATGTGTTTTGGTCAAATATCTGACCATTCTCAGCTTTAGAACAACTCATCTAAATAGATTAGAATGCTTTACATCATTTATCAGATATTATCATGATGCTCTTCATTAATTTATATATTTTAAGTCAAGAGATTGTGTATAATCATTAATAAGGCACAATTAAATGTCCGATTAAGTATATTAATATTTAACAAAATAACATTACATTTCTCTTCCTCTGATGACGTAAAACTTATTAGGATATAGTCAGGAGCTAATTTCATTCTTTCTATCCGATTTTACCAAATTTGAGTATGTCCAGATACGTGGGAAAGGAGAACCGAATAAAAGGGTAAGTTGAAGACAGGTCAGAGAGTTCACCTTCTGCAGAACGACTGTGAGGTCCAGATCGAGTCGAATCCGTTATTAATCGCGCTAAAAATATTTAAAAATAGAAGAAAAGAAATTGTAATAAATGACGCGACACGAAAGTAAACAATGCGAATCCCAAGTGCGACTCCGACACGTTCAGAAATACAACAGTGTCAGGCCAGAGAGTTCGTTTTAACTTTGACACTGACGCTCTTATACAATGTTTGTTTGTTTGTTAAGTTATGGCAACGCAACACTCGGGCGATCTGCCTAGGGAGGTGCCTTTTTAAGAGAAACTGGCCCCTATTTAGGCGTTATAGACGTGGAGAAAACCCGAAAGAGCGAGGCACGAACCCAAGACCGAACTCCCAGTGTTCAGGGTACGATGACCGCTTGACCACCGCTCGTATACAAAGGATCGATTGAAGTTAAATTGAGTCGGAAAACGGGGTGGTTTGACGAAAGGAAAACGTCGCGTTTGACAGTTAACATTCCAAAATGCCAGAATAGAGAATATAACGATCAAAAATATGAGCGCAGCTTTCGAAGTTCCATCAACATCTCTCGGTCAGAGTCGAGGGATGGTGTCAGGTTGAACGCCTAAGACCGACCTTTCTCGTCACCCGATCCGATCTCATTTCCACCTAAATACAAGGGAGGAAACCAATCGAGAAACGGCGAGAGGAAAACAGAACCAATCGGAGAAGGAAATTCGGAAATGAAATTTCTTAAATACCCCGGACTTCTGTAATTTGTAAACGTCCAGAGTGACCCGTGCCTCTCTCCTCCTTTTGTCTGCCAAATCTCTGGAATTCCTTATTTCGCTTTGCCTTCGTCCTCCGTCCGCTGGACTACCCACGACACCGCTCCGAGACCGACAACTGGACGAGGTTTCCACAACAAATTAGCAGCTGTGGACTCTATTGATCTTCGCTAGAGATAAGGAGAAATACATTGTAAACTCTTCTGATATAAAATAAACGGATTTCATTTGTAATGGTACCTGAGTCAGTGTGTGTCCACCACCAATCATATACAGTTCTAACCCCTCGTACATGCTGACGCGAGTTTAACTAACTCCCTCTTTCCGGGTCGGCAAAACTCACACGACATCCGGAGAAGTCTCAGAAAGTTCCTAACCAACATCTATCACCTTATTGTTTGTGTGCAGAAAACAAGTGGACATTTTATAGGGATTACAGGGGAGTGACACCTCACCATTTATAATATGATAATCTCTTATTAACATGATGTTAAAATGTAAAATTGTAGTTTTAATAAAAAATATTAATTGTAGTTTTCTTTAACAGAAATTAATATTAAAATTGGACTATTAAACTGGATATATTATAAAAACCTGTAGATGGATAAAAGTATAATTGATAAGATTTAACAAAAATGCAAATAAATACAATAAATAAACTGAATTAAAAAATGAGTTTAAGAAACTTTTTCAAGAATGTTGAACCTTTATCAAACATACTAAAACACACACACACACACACACACAAAAAGACATACCAGCCAAAGCACCTAATATCTTTTACATCACACATTTAGTAATTTATAATGCTTCATTATAAGAAAAATTCATGTATTTAATATTTATGTATTCATTGGCTGTTTACAAAAATGGTACTATTTAGGAGGACACTATATTAGGCTGATCATAATATTTACAATCCAACCAGGGACACATTTCAGAATCACTGAAAATGGGGTCTAAAACTACTTGAACTTTGATTATTTTAAAAAATTTATTTATTTATTGATCTATAAATTGGTGATATTATATTGGCATGTTGATAACATTGCTCTATACAAAGATTGATTCTACAGTGAAATATTAAAGACAGGCAAAACTGGAGACAGTCCCTGGAAATTGAGGATGTCTTGTCACCCTGACTGTCGGGATGGAAAAATCGTCTGGCACTCAGTTTTCCCGCCTTTTTACGAACGACCGTTGTCGCCATAGAAACGGCAATCAGACCATTTTGAAGACTCGACCGCTCATTGGTTAAAAGACATCAGACCATAGGCGGATGTCTTATAGAGCTGGTAAATGCTGATTGGTGGAATCCAATGCTGTTTCAATCCTATAAAAGCATTGAAGTTCTGGCGGGAAGTTTCAGTTTGCTTCGTACATTAGAAAGTGAACTCACACTGACCTTAGTTCGCCTAAGTGGTTTTAGAAGATTGCCTCATCTTGTTGCAGTGTTATGGACTTTGAATTTGTACGTCGCAAGGTGCTTTTCCGACGGACCTGTTGCCGTGGATGATTACTTTGAACTTTGTTTGTAATTCTTATATGTGAACTTTAATTGTAATTGTACATACGTTTATTTTCAAATATACATTAAGTTTTAAATTTAACTGACTCGGAAGTGTATTTGAAGTTGACTGGCGCAGACTCGACAGGATTACACAGTTTCGACAGGATTACTACAGGATTACGTTGGATTACTACAGATCGGAAGGGCTGATCTGTGACGGACATAAGGACAGAGGAACACCGGCAATCATTGACCCAGGTAAAACTTTATTTTACTCGCTAGCACAGAGATGCCTAGAGGCGCAAAATCGAGGCGTTTGCAAACTGGGGATTGGGAAGACAATGAGCCGGGAAGGTCAGACGACCAAGACAGTCAGAGACAGGTGGGGCGGGGAAAAGGCGTCCCAGAAAACGAGCTCGAATTGATGAGACTACGGGTTGAACTCGCTGAGGCCAAAAGGAGGGCAGCGGAATCCAAGGCCAGGTTGGCGGAAGTCGAAGCTAAGGCTAAGGCTAGGAAAGCGGAAATCGAGGCCGAGTTGAGGGAAGCGGAACGCCTATTAGAGAAAGATAGGCGGCTCTTTCAGGCACGGAGATCGACGGGTCAGGTCGTGAAGAGGGAATTAGACGACTCAGGTTCCCAGGGATGGGGCAAGCCGGCGGAAGTAGCTAAGGTCACAGAGAAGTTTGGGGAGGTGTCAGGTAGTAGATTGGCCGGTAGCAGCGAGGAGGTTAGAGAGCGACGGAACTCTCAGAGTGGAATGACGAGGAAACTCATTTTCTCGACACAGAGTCCGGTCGAATGGACCCCCAAGGGTAATTGTAGTTCCTGTGGAAGGGCTGGGCATTGGAGGAGAGCTTGTCCTAAGTGGAAGGCATCCAATGAGTCCAAACGGGCGCGGCTAGTAACTACGAACAAGACATCCCAAAAAGACAAACTTCCGGTAGTGAGGATAACGGCGTGTGATCAACCAAAGGTCAGGGAGGCGTCGAAAAGAATCAAGTCGGTAGGCGACAGAAATAGTCTTTCGGCTATGGTCGATTCTGGGGATGAGATTTCGGTCATAAGGGAATCATTGGTGGCGGAAACGGAGGAGGAAATCCAACAGGTTGGATCCTTCGGTCACCGGACCGATTCCGTAACGATACCGATAGGGCTGTGGGAGGAAGACCTCACAGGAACGGGTGAGCCGGCGATTGCGACTTGTGCCGTGACAGACAAGTTACAGCAGACCACGGTTGCCCTATTATCGGAAGGGGATTCCCGGATGGTATTAGACCGAAAGGAGAGACTCCAGGGAAAGGGAGAAAGACAAGTGAGGAACTTAAGGGTAGATGGTAACAGAAACCATCGGGAAAAGAAGCTAGAACCTCTCTCAGAAGCGGGGTGCAGTGAAAATAGCACCGAAAATGAGAAAGGAACAGAAGTACGAGACGCCCAAGTCCGGGACGAGTCACTTTCTCGATTGTGGGAGGCCACTAAGCGTAAGAAAGATGGGTTAACTGTAGAGGACGAGATACTATATCGGCAAGATAGTTCGTTCGGCGGGCCCATTAATCAGGTAGTTGTTCCCCAAGAACGGAGAACGGAAGTGTTAGATTTAGCACACAAAGCTCTGTGCGGTGGACGATTTGGCAGTCGGAAATTAGCAAGTCGCGTTCGCGAGGGCTTCCATTGGCCGGGAATGGTGACCGATATCCGGAAGTACTGCCAGGATAGTCGTAGGTGCTTAGTAAGAGCGCCTGATCTAGTCCTAGATAGGACTCCAGCTACACCACTTACTCGATTCTCAACCCCGTTTCAAGTGGTTAACATGGGCGTGATTGTACCGATTGATCCCTTGTCATCTAACGGTCATCGATACACAGTTAGCATAATTGGATTATGCACCCGCTGGTCAGAAGTGGAAGGGAGGAGATCGCTGTCAGCGAGGGTCACTTGTTCGGTATTGATGCGATTCTTTACGCGGACGGGTTGTCCCAAACTGATGTGGTACGATCAGGGGACAGATTGCACTGCAGGATTGACGCGCGAAATGACCCGTAGGTTAGAAGTAGGGAATGTAGAGATGGATCGGATCAAAGCGGTCCACGATCTTGCAACTAAGCATACGGACGAAAAACGAGAAGAGTATGCAGTGCCTAACAACGTGGAAGCACGGAAAAAGGGATATAACATCGGGGATACGGTTCTCGTGGAAAAGTCTTCCCCGGATGACAAATTGGATGTCCGGTGGGAATGGCCGGATGTGGTAGAAAAGCGAACGTTCGCTGTAAAAATAGTACTTGATTCCGACGGGAGAGTCGGGGAACGGGTTCAAACTCCGTCCCCGCGACAGCTGCACGATCGCGGAAGATGGGACGGGAGAGTAAGGGGAGTTCCTCCGCTTCCCCCGACGTCGGCACAGACTAAGCTGGATGACGTGCTGGAGAAGTACAACTTGTTTTTCGGTAGTAGACCGAAGAAGAAAAACACTTGGACACTTACTGGAGGGTGGATCCCGAAACGGTTTACCCCATACCGGATTGCGTTGGCTTTACGAAAGCGGTTATTAGGCATAGGTAGCAAAGGCATCTCTGCGCGTAGACGGGTAAAATTCCCGGATGTTCCGGATGTATGGGTCAGTCCGATATCGGACGATTTTTGTAAGATTGTCTGGTGTTGTGGAAGGAATCAAACAGGCTTGAGTAAGCTCAGTTTGATCCTCGGCCGTGGAGGTGTCGGGATGGAAAAATCGTCTGGCACTCAGTTTTCCCGCCTTTTTACGAACGACCGTTGTCGCCATAGAAACGACAATCAGACCATTTTGAAGACTCGACCGCTCATTGGTTAAAAGACATCAGACCATAGGCGGATGTCTTATAGAGCTGGTAAATGCTGATTGGTGGAATCCAATGCTGTTTCAATCCTATAAAAGCATTGAAGTTCTGGCGGGAAGTTTCAGTTTGCTTCGGACATNCTGATCATAACATTTACAATCCAACCAGGGACACATTTCAGAATCACTGAAAATGGGGTCTAAAACTACTTGAACTTTGATTATTTTAAAAAATTTATTTATTTATTGATCTATAAATTGGTGATATTATATTGGCATGTTGATAACATTGCTCTATACAAAGATTGATTCTACAGTGAAATATTAAAGACAGGCAAAACTGGAGACAGTCCCTGGAAATTGAGGATTTCTTGTCACCCTGACTATACTATGATAAAGAATAAGCTTGTCTTCAACATTGCATGACGTAATGTAAATAAATATTATTATAGAAAATATATTAAAAATTTTAATTCAGTTTTAATAATGTAATAAGAAAATAAATATCAAGCTCGTAAAGACCTTTTTGTTGTTAATAAATTGCCACATAATTTTTACAAAAACAATTTTATTTATTGACCAAATTCAACTGAACAGTTAAAACAGTTAGGAATTAGTTTTTAATACTTTTATACATTATTTCTTTTTCAGTAGATTTAACAATTTTTATGAAAGTAGATAACAGTATATATTCAAAAATTTATAAGTTTAATAATAATCATAATTTGAAGAAGGATTTACTCTAACTACATGTCTTAAAGGTCGACCTGAAAAATACATTAAAATAAATTATAAATTTTGAAACTGAATTTATTTAATTTTAAAAAGTTTTCAAATACATACCAACAGAATTTGTGAAAAAGTGTGCCTTAAAACCAGATAAATTATTTGTTGAATTTGTCACTAATTTAACAAGAATTCCATTTGAGTCAGATGTAATTGTTCCAGGTCGATCCTAAAAATTGTTTAATAAAATTATCATTGAAATGTTATATACAAATACTGTATGTTAAATTTTTAATTTACAAATATTATATTAGTCATTAGTCAACCTACGAATATTCAATGTGTGAATATATTTTGATCAATCTCAATATAAATATTCTAGAAATATTGAATAGATAGATATGTATGCAGAACTCTTTAGAAAACAATAAAATGTATTTTAATATAAATATTTTAGTTATAAATTTTGAACTAAGGATAATTGATCATTTAATTAGAACTCAGATAATTATAATTTTTTTATATTTCAATCTCTTACTAGTCATAACATAGAAAAAAGCCATGATTTTATCATTTTAAACTATGATGGACAAATGAAGTAATGAAAATGAATATGAATTAAAGAAATAAACAATCATCAGTACATGATGTCATATCAACTACAGTATATGTATATAGTTAATACAAGATAATTTAAAAGTATACAAAACCACCAAAAAGACACCTGAAGAGTTGCACCTGTAATACATGCCTACTTATATTTGTACAGCAAGCATTTGTGAACATGTACTATAAAGCATTGAATTATAGTACATGTTCACATTTGTAGTTGTATATTTTTACTGAAGTTACTAGTAAAAAAGATCAAATTAAAATTGTATATACTGATGCATTTTTTACTTGATTATAGTAATGCAATTCCAATATTCTGCAGTCATTCTGGCCAATAGTGGGTTGACATACTTCTAAATTGTTACAATAAACAACAGTGTTCAATAATTCTTAGCAGGTGTCCAAATACTTTTTGCAATATAGTGTAGATCAGTGTTCTGCAACCTTTTTCTATTCGTGGCACACCATGACTTGACATGTCTCAACATGGTATACCAAAATGTTATTCCCCTCAAAAGTGTATGATATGATACTATTAATAGAATTACAGTCGACCCCCCTATAAGATAGAGATACGTTCCATTCTCTAGGAATCCGCTTTCTTACGAATCCTTCCAATCACAACCCGACACGTATCAAGTTTACGGACTACGGCTGTTTGAAAGATTTTCTTCCATAAAATTAATCGATTCTAGACTAATCCGACTCAACATTTCCAAAATACGTATATATTTTTTGGGAATAATCCGTATAAACTACGCTATAAACAAAAAATTGTAGGATTACTTACCGAGTGTCACCATTCGACATTGCCATTGCTC